TTGCCCCCCTCCGGTTTTATGACCAAAACAGAGCTTAATGGCATTGCAGTTCTACCAAGTTTAAAGCCTTCCCTTGTCCTAAGGAGACTTCCGCCAAATTAAGTGGCTGTTCCTCCAACGGAAGAGCCACTTTGGCTGAAGGAAAGACCACCATCCTAAAATACTTACATGGCAATATGTATAACTTATTTTAGCCGCAAGATGTATATTTTTTTTCTAGTCACTTTGCTTGGGATTATTTCCCTCAGCACATAGCTCTAGATCTCCAGGTTTGTGGAATCAGTGCTGTCTGTGTCAGTCAGGGGAATGGAGTTCTTAAAATTTATTTATTTATTTATTTCACTTTTACCCCACCCTCCCCGCCAGGCAGGCTCAGGGCGGCTTCCAAAAACTGACAAGCAGTATACATACACAATAAAATATAAATACAAGGCATCAGTTAAAACACAACCAATCAGTATAAAACATTCATTAGATGGCGATAAAACTAAAGTGCAGTTTAAGGACACATTCAGCGGTGCCCCCTCGTTAGGTCGTATTGGATCGGAGTTCACACAGGGTGCTGCTGGTAAGACAACTCTCCTATCGGAACGCCTGCCTGAAAAGTTCTGTTTTCACGGCCCTGCGGAACGGTGACAAGTCCCGCAGGGCTCTAATCTTGACAGGAAGCTTGTTCCAGTAGGATGGAGCTACAAACGAAAAAGCACTCGTCCTGGTTACCATCAACCTGACTTACCACTTTATTGGGAGTATTAAATCAATGGATGTAGACAGAATCTATGTTCTTCTGTATGCAGCAACCCACTTCTTTATTTTGGGCTTGACTTGGAAAGAGTGCTACTTTGTACCTGTGTCAGGCTAAAGCACCTTCCCTTGTTTTGTTTTTTAAAGTTAGTACCTGTGTCAGGCTAAAGCACCTTCCCTTGTTTTTTTTTATGTAGTGTTTTCTCTGTGAATGTGCTAATCTAATCCCATCGTGGGTACTTGGGATATTCTGGATTGCTCAACACACCTTCTAGAGAACTCCCTGCTCAGCTTTTGCAGCATATGGACTGAAAATGGGCCTTCAGTCTTGGCATATGGGCTTTATGGCTGGGCAAGAGAAAGAGGAACCCTCTGTGCAGCCCCTGTTGTCAAGGTCTGGGTTAACAGGTCTGTGCTATGAAGCCTGAACTTTCATTGGATGAGAAAAGTTTGAGTCCAGTGGCACCTTTAAGACCAACAAAGTTTAATTCTGGGTATAAGCTTTCATGTGCATGCACACTTCATCGGTGTGCATGCACATGAAAGCTTATACCCAGAATAAAACTTCGTTGGTCTTAAAGGTGCCACTGGACTCAAACTTTGTTCTATTGCCTCAGACCAATATGGCTACCCACCTGAATCTACTCTCTTTGGATGAATTTAGGTAGCCATTTACAAGAGGTAAATTTATTATGGCTAGCAGTGTACAATGATATGACAAACCAGTTCCTGTCCATTCACTAAAGTACTGGGGGATGATTGTTTCCATATCATTATACCAGTTCAGAAATCTTTGGAAGCAGTGAAATTTTCCTCACTAAGATACAGGCCA